TCAGGGTCAGAAGACAGACATACAAAACCATTCATCAAAAATGATGATGAGCCAGCTAACTCACCCTTCTTGTATTCCACTTTCTCAGATGGAACATTTGCAAGGGAGAATGACAGAGGTAGACTTGACACTGGGGAACTTACAAACGCTACAGTTTTTGTGGATTTCTGCTTCTTACATAGAACAGGACAATCTGCAATAAGATGACCTTGGGCCTCATTTATAAAATGTGTGTATGCACAGATTTGATCTTAGAGTGTGCGTACGCTAAAATCCACGGCAACATTCATATATATAAAAACGGTCTTTGATGTGGAAAAGTACTTACCGTCACGTCAGGGTCTGAGCAGACGTACACACTTTTCCTTGTCGGAGTACTGCAGCTATTTGAACATCTAAGCTGCAATAATAATAAAAGCACTGAATTCATCATAAACAACAAAGATGCAGTGTAAGAGATTAATTGTGCAGTGTAGTCAGATTTTTTATTAACGGGAGTTTTTGTGAGATTAAACTGACCTTTTTAGTAGCCTAATGTTGATAGTTCTTTACTCGCTCTCTGTACACAGTTTATTCCATGTTGTTCTTTTTATTATTTTATTTTACAAGAGAACTTGCGAAGTCTTGATTTACTACTAATGCGCAAAAAAAAAAAAATGCATAAACGCATCTCCGACTGTTTTGTCTGTGTAGCCTAAGAATAGGCCTATGTCGTGCAATAACGGTTTTAATATATTCTATTCAATAACATTGTTAACTGTTTTTATTTATAACATCTGCTGCTTTGCTTCTGTGAAAATGAATAGAGACATCAGCCTTAAACTTTGTTTTTGTCATTTACATCAGTTACATTTGTATAAAATACACTATATATTTTTAGCGGGGTAAAGTTAGTTTTAGGTTCGATATTCGCCAGACATTCGCCTAGGCTGCTTTAGGGACCGTCTGCAAATTTACCTCTCAGTACAAAACGAAGTCCAGTAATTAATACAATTTATGTTTACAACGCCATAGTAAATGTCTTGTGGGCAAACTGACCGAACATATTTAACCAATATGTCGCCATAGACAATATCTCCCTTACTGTATGTACAGTACACAACTATTTTCTATTTTACTATTTTATAATTCACCTTATTTCTGTTGTTTCTAGAAGTAGTAATTTTGATAATAGTCAATAGAAAAAATATAACCACACACATTATGTCCACAGAATAATTACACATTATTAAATAAAAAGTGTCCCACACGAACCTCTACCTCCGCCAGCAGGACCTCAATTTGAGACTCAGTAAAGTTTTTTTTTTCTTGGTGCTCGTCATTCTCAAGCATAGAAATTCGGATATTGGCGTGTGCATGAGATACACCCGGGTACCTGCCTAACACCAAAGGGGGCAGGGTTGACAGACCAGCCTCCTGAGGGCACAGAGAAGAAATGGGCACACCAAAACTTGACGACTAGGAATTATCAAATGGCCAGAGTTTTGGAGATCGCAGTGGACGTGAAGGACTATAATGCGATATGAGCTTGCTGAAGTACCGAGGAGCTAAACAATTCAGAGCTTTATAAGTAATTAGCAAGATTTTAAAAAGTATTAAGTTGTAAAGCACTGCAGTTTATCTTTTGGTGCGATGAATGAAGTTGAAATATTATACGCTGTAGAATCTACATTTCTTATTGTATATCTAATGTTATCTATTTTATCCCGGCGCCGGAGTGAAGGACATCTGGGAAGATCGCGTCCTGGGTGCACCGGGCCTGTGCAGAGAAACACACGGAGTAGAGGTGGTGGGAGAGTTAGCAGCGCGCTGTATACTTACCTCGGATTTGTGAGCGTCAGCCCGGGATGTTTCCAGCGCGGCTCTCCGCTCTCTCAGCTGGGTCTGCCTCTCCACCAGGTCACGGATCTGCTTCTCCACGGCCTCCGAATGCAGCGAATGCAGCTCGAACGTGTCCTCACCTGCACTCAAAGGTAGACACACATCCACCATTAAAGCAAGTAACAGTGAGTAAAACAATGGTAATGTGTGTGAATAGAGTATTAGCAATGTTAGCGAGATTAGCGGCAACCACACTGGCGATGCTAACGGGCTATATGCTAATAACAGACTCGGGAAATCAAAATAGAGCTGGTGATAACAAGGCGCTCTGATTGTTTTTGTTGTAGAATACGATAGGGGATATATTCACACGTTATAGAAACGAAAATGATGGTGTATAAAATTTATTTTAAGATAAATAAATAGACGATAAAGAATTAACTTGACGGAGCTCAAACTCAAAACACACGGCAGCAACAAACAGGAAGTGACGTCCTGGAGGGACTTCATGAGGGACTTCTTTGGTTATATCAGTTTTACTTTACTGTTCATTCTGTTTAGACTGCTGGGTCGGACATATGTATAATCTCACTTCAGACTATATATTTGACTGAGATACCCTGATTGTTTGTGGAGAAAGATGTGTATTCTGAATTGTTTATTGTATTTGCCCTGTTCTTTTATGTATTTTATTATTATTATTTTATTGCTTACCTCAGACTTTTTCCCCCTCCTCTTTCGCAGCTTCCTTTTATTTCCAGCACACATAAAATGTACAACTGCCAAACTGATTCATCATGCTCTTTTTGTTTACCACTAGCGCATGCGGATGACATTTTATTCTTCAATAGTAACTTGTGTCATAGCCTACGATTCAATAGGTGTACCCATCGTACAGTCTGCATACAAGTCGTACATAAGTTTATCAGATTCATGTCGGACAGTGTGATTTGTAATGATCTAATAAGATTGCTGAAACCTGTAGAAGGCTTTAGGCTCAAAATGCTTTTGGGAAACGCAGCCCAAAACCTAAATCACAGGTGAAAACCATCTTGGCAACTAAACTAAAGCTGGGCAAGCTAAAAACTAAAGTCCTGTGCACTTAGTGCCATCTAGTGTTCAGAAGTGTCAGTTCAGGCTGAAATCTTACAGGTATGTTGTAAGAAAAGCACTTTGTGTACATGACACTAATTTACACAGTTTAGGGATTTTACTTTTCACATTGTCAAACTATAATCCTAAGAAGAAATAGCAATGTAAGCTTATTCATATAAATGATGATACATTTGTAGTATTGCTCTCTTTCACACACACACACACACACACACACACACACACACACACACACACACATACTTGTATTTGTGGTTTACGGGGACTCTCCATAGGCATAATGGTTTTTATACTGTACAAACTGTATTTTCTATTGCCCTACACCAACCCTACCCCTAACCCTACCCCTTACAGGAAACTGCTGGCAATTTTTGAATTTCATAAAACATCGTTTTGTATGTTTTTTAAGCCTTTTGTTTTACGGGGACACAGGAAGTGTCCTCATAAACCATGTTTACGTTGTAGTACCCATCTCATTATACACATTTGTGTCCCCATAAACCATATATACCTGTACACACACACACACACACACACACTCTCTCTCTCTCTCTCTCTCTCACACACACACACACACACACACACACACACACACACACGTATTATTGTCATTGGCCCACAGTCTCAGTGGGTTGAATGATGGTCAGTGTGAGTCAGATCACAAGTGTGACGCGTCTCCTCTCTTATTTGACTCCACATGTTCACGCAGCACATGATTGCACGAGAGAGGGAACTGCATGACCTATGTGAGTAACTTCTTGTGTCTTTCCTCTTTAGCAAAATTGCCTTTTTGGAAAATTAACATTGCATAATGATCATTGTCTGTTCGGTTAGGTTAGGGCACTGCATTAGAAGTGTCACAATTTAAGTTCGCAATTCCATATAAGTTAATATAATGCATGCAAAGTCGTTTGGCAGTAATATATTTTGTGTTAAGTATCATATTTTCCATGTTTTTTTTTTAAACAGACATATTTTAAACCACATCTTTGTTTGTTTTAGCTTCAGTAGCTTAAGCTGTTACATCAAATCAATTAAACCTTGAAAAGATGTGAACCCCTTAGAATAATTTACATTTACATACTCTACATTAATGTTTTCCCGTGTCTAGTCTTATTCACAAACATATATAATGAAAATCTTAACAAGCATTCTGCTAACAAATGTACAAAAAGTACACTGGCAGTGATCTCTGCACAATTCAGTTGATTTTATTTTCATCACGTGAATTTAAATATCTCTTTTGTATACTTTTCCATCAGTTACCTAATAACTATTCAATACAAAAATGGCAATGCAATGTTGTCATCAAATAGTTAGTTTATTATAATGTTTTTAAACCAAATCTATATTATCTATTGATAGACTGTCTGTACATTTGTAGAGTATATATATATATATATATATATATTTATATATATGTGTGTGTGTGTGTGTGTGTGTGTGTGTGTGTCATTCGTTATCATTATTTTTACGGCATCAAATGTCATTAAACCTATTAAATAGCACAAAAGAAGTATAGAACTTATATGGAGACCAAAATTCAAACAAATAAAAAATCTTACTAAAAATCTAAATAAAAAGATGCAATGGATAGTTGTGTACAAAACTGATTTCAAGCCCTATACAGGTCACAGAGTGTGTAGATGCGCAGCCTCATGGAAAGACACGTGTAACTGCAGTACCACCCTCCTCTCCTCTCCAGAATGCACTGGATCTCTGCCCACAGAGGTGCTGTCACACTGCAGCCATTGATGTGATTCAGCTCCACACAATGCCACTCTCACACAGCAGTGAATGACTGATGCAATGCTCTGTGTGTGGGTTAGCTTTAGCCTACACTGGTGGGGCCGAATATACATCCTCACCAATATAGTAAAAACTCAATTCACCTACAACCAGCCAAAAAAAAAAAAAGGTCCTGTTAGGGTTTTGGTTCAGCAGATAATATCAACTTACTTTAAAAAAATAAATAAATTTGGTGGGAATTGTTCGCAGGATCTACTGTGTAAGTCTGAATGTGTTCTGAACATATCAGTGAACTGTTTTATGCTTTATTTTGGTCTCTTTTTCAAGACGTACAGGCACCTTAAAATGACCTCTGCGATGTCAGACTGATGGTAAGTTCTTTTCTCTCCTGCTCTGTCTGTTGTGTGTGAAATATAATCCCAATATAGTGAATGTTTTATGCTATATGTGACTCTGGACTGGTCTTAAGTCACTGGGGTATATTTGTAGCAATAGCCAACAATACATTGTATGGGTCAAAATTATTGATTTTTCTTTTATGCCAAAAATCATTAGGATATTAAGTAAGGATCATGTTCCATGAAGATATTTTGTAAATTTCCTACCATAAATATATCAAAACTTAATTTTTGATTAGTAATATGCATTGCTAAGAACTTCATCTGGACAAATTTAACCACTTCAACCAGTTAAACTCTGCGGACCCGGATACGGGTCCAAAATCGCGTTAAAAATGTTTATGCTTCATTTACATAGCCTTCCTTATATGGTATAAGAAAGCTTATTCATTTGAAAGCTTGGAGTGTCTTCTTTACAAAGAATACCATTCCTTTTGGTTTTTATATTCATAAAGCAGTAAAATTAAGCTTAGAAATTTATTCGTCCCACACACGAATTTCCGCCTAACCATTGCGAATAATTTTTACGAAGAATGTGTATTTTATATATTTTTCACAAAAAAGTCAAGTCATATATCACAAGAAAGCTCTCATTCTCAGGAATTTGACGATGTAGATTATTTCATTGTGTGACAATCACAGGTCGACTTATCTTCGATAGAATCGCGATGTAAAATTTTGTCACCTCTGAGCGAATTTACATTTATACTC